GATACAACAACCACTCTTTCACGTCGACTCATGTACTATTTGTTTTTATATTTTTTGACCCCTTAATAGTCTGCTCAGTTCCTGAACGGCATCTGTGCGCTTAGCGTAACAGCTATCAGCGCAGAAAGTGAAATTGGCGTGTCAAGTTCAAGTGCTAGTCAAGTGCACTCACATTCGCACAAGTACTTTTTGAAAGTTTTTGAATCCATCTCTTCCCCTCCTCCCACCAACTAGTGGTTAAGAGCTGAGCAAAACTGGACCCTCTAGCCTTTGCAACCAATGTAGAAGAAAAACTCTGAGTCAAAAACAGGCTGGGTGTGTAGCTAGCAACTCCACCCATGAGAAAACCACAGCTATAGTACCTAGCCAAGTGGAGTTGTGTCCTTATATTACACTAGAAGTTGGCTTACAGCCATATCAGGTTGAAATACCAGTTCCCGGACGATCACTGAAGTTAAGCAACGTCGAGCTTGGTTAGTACCTAGATGAGTGACCGCTTGAAAATATCAGGTACTGTAAGCTTGGATGTGTGGCTGGTTTGATGGATAATGGCTCGGAATTAGAAATCGGATAGTCGAGTTCATTATATTCCCTTACGCGCAAATACCATTGGGAATGGTATGAAGGCACCTATTCTCCCCCCAGTTATGGGTTAATTAGTAAGACATGTATCACTAAATCATTATTATCTCCCCTAATTCTTACAATCTGAAAATATTTTTTACTCTAAATAACCTGCAAATGGCTGATAAACCGTAGAAAATGAATCAATCAATGAAATAATGAATAGCTAACTCAGGCATGTTTTTTTTTCAAATTTATTTACAGTCTCTTGAATATAAACGCATAGAATCTACGGTGGCCACAAAGTGAGTGATCAGTTTATATGTTGATTGTAATATATAATTGAACCCCACTTTATATCCACATAATTTTTGTTTTCTGTCAAATTCTGATTAGGTATGACTCCAACTTTTCTCCCCCAGCTATGGGTTAATTAGTAAGATTTGCATCACTAAAACATTATTACTTCAAAAATTCTCACAATCTAAAAATAGTTTTTGGTTTTAAATAACTTGCAAAAGGTTGATAAACCGTAGAAAACGAATCAATCAATCAGTCACTAGTATTTCCTCCCAGCAAATTCTTTCAATCTAAAACTATTTTCTGGCTTTAAATAACATGCAAAGGGTTAATGAGTCTTAGAAAACGAATGAATGAATGAATGAATCAGAGAATTCCTATAGCAAAACTGTTAAATTTTCATGATTATTTCTAGTAGTAATTATTCTAGAGAAATATGAAATAACCTTTTTGATCAGAATCCTGAGTAACTACTTTTGAGAGGGCACACTTTCAAATATCTGTTGTTCTTATACAAAATGAGCTTTAGGCGTCGTAGATTAAGCAATAAATAACAATACAGAAGAAAAAGCAAAGTATGTAAATACCCGAGAAGATTTTAGACAAGATTCCGACTTTTAAACTCGGATCGATGTGAAGAAGAATAAAATATAGAGATTTGAATATTTTGATCGGATATAAATTGCAAACAAATCCTCTTTGCAAAACTGTCATTGTTCCCGAAAATACGGAACCTGCTTTTCCGGTGTAAACTTCATATATCGGAAAAATATACGAGCGGATACGGGAAATTTATCAAAGTGACCCATTTCCGAAAATCAGTATTTCAATGACCAAACATTAGATTTGGGGAAATCAGTCGAGCCGATCCATTTTAGCTGCACCTAGTAAAATCCAAAAGTAAATAGCACTCGATTTTTTTTAAAGAGATTCTACCAATATCAATGATGGTGATTCTTTAAGTGCAGCTTAGATACGTCACGGGGCCGAAATTATGGGGCACCCAATGAGGAACGAACTCACTACTCAGTTGTAATTGATCTAGCGAGGCTAACCATTACACTAGGTCGAAGTGTGATATAAAGCTGAAAGTAACACCCAGCAAGGATCGAACTCAGTTATGTGCCATGCGTGATACACGCTTAGGCGATTTTCCCAGGCAGATTTTTTCCCGCAGTAGGTTGCCAGTTCTTTCTGCGGTCGACCAGTTGCCATCCAAGGCTATAGAACTAGGTCTGTCCTGATATTTACCTATAGCTAGAGAGAAGAGGATTCCTACCTTTCCATGTAAGTGAATGTAATGGATTTGACTAGAATTCGAACTCGGCTCTCCGACTCCTCAATCCTAGCCGCTACCCATTACTCCACCGTAACAACCTTGCTAAACATTACCCCACTTCGAAGTGCCCTAAATCAGTATTTCAATGACCAAACATTAGAATACAGATTTGGGGAAGTCGGTTGAGTCGATACATTTTAGCGGCACTTAGTAAAATCCCAAAGAAAATTGCACTCGATTTTTTTTAAAGGATTCTATCAATATCAATAATGGTGAGTAAGTGCAGCTTAGATATGACACCCTGTAAGGAATGAACTTACTACTTAGTCGTAATTGATCTAGCGATGCAAATTTGCTAACCATTACACCCCATAGAAGTGCTCTAACGATTTTCTCATAGATTAGATATGGTACAAGGCCGAAAATGTGGAGCACCCAGTGAAAACCGAACTCACAACACAGTCGTAATTGATCTAGCAAGACAGCTTACTAACCATTACACCCCATCGAAGTGCTCTAACGATTTTCTCATAGATTAGATATGGTACAAGGCCGAAAATGTGGAGCACCCAGTGAAAACCGAACTCACAACACAGTCGTAATTGATCTAGCAAGACAGCTTACTAACCATTACACCCCATCGAAGTGTTTCTAACGATTTTCTCATAGATTAGATATGGTACAAGGCCGAAAATGTGGAGCACCCAGTGAAAACCGAACTCACAACACAGTCGTAATTAATCTGAGCGAGGCAAGCTTTTTGAAAACGATCGAAAATAACCATTACACCAGCTTGAGGTGCCCTAAATGATTTTCTAATAGATGTGATACAAAGCTGAAAGTGTGAACCACCCAGTGAGGAACGAACTCACTACTCAGCTGTAATCTGATCTAGCGAGACAACCTTGTTGACCATTATACCACTTTGAAGTGCCCTAAATGATTTTCTAGTAGATTAGAGGTGGTTTAAGTTTGGACGTTTGGTGCACCCGGTGAGGTTCGAACTCACTGCTCAGCCGTAATTGATCTAGTTAGACAAGATTGCTAACCATCACGTTACGTCGAAGTACTTTTATTGCATTTTTTTAATTTTACGATTCGGAGCAGATTTTGGGGAAAATGAGTAGTAATTTGGAAAAAAGAAATTGAGTGATTTACATTCTCCAAGGAGTCCTGTTTTATTTCATCAAATTAAGTAAGTGATGGGTAACTTATGTAAAAAAAAAATCACAAATAATTTCATTCATTTGTGAATAAGTTCTGAAAATTTAGAACACGCTAGAAAGGATTAAAAAGCTTAATAAAATAATAAAAAAATACTTTGGTGTTTCCTCTTAATAATAACATAAACATTTTAACGATAAAACTTCCTTTCTATTAAGTTTGTGGCCTTTTTTCATCATTCTATACTGTTTTCTTTTCAGCGAAAAAAATGGAGGTAACCCATGTAACTTAGGCTTACGGCTACCTTACATTGAAACACCGGTTTCCATACGATAACTAAAGTTAAGCAACATCGAACCCTAGTGAAGTCTCACTCAAGCAGCTTCTTCCCACGAACCTCTGCCTCGTGAAACTAACTCCCAAGAGGATGTTTCCCCGATCACTACAATCTTAATCTGTTCAAGTGTAGGGTTAACCGTTATCTTCTGCACATATCAGCATAAGCTGTATCCAGGAACGTCTGTTATATTTCCAGCAAAAAGTAAATTGAACATAGTTCTTATGGAACAACTTATCATAGGAAAGAAAAATAAACAGTGTGGCATCTAGGCAGAAAACAAAGATGTAATAAGAAGGACAGATGTAAAGATTATATATATATATATATATATATATATATATATATATATATATATATATATATATATACCAACATTGAGTTCAAATGCCCCTTAAGGAACTGTGGTGTTCCTGATCAAACCGGACTCATAAATAATTACATCGGTTACACAACGACATGCATATCCAGATGACTTACGTTACACCTATCTGATCACAGCTCCATTAGAACCCATTTAAACACACACAAATTTACCAGACTCCATTAGAAACATACTAGTAGCAAACACAAATATATTAACTGCATCCACCTGTAAAAAAAGATTAAAAATAATGGAAGCTTTAATCATAAAAAAGAAAAAAAAAACAACTCTTAATATTAACTATGAACAAGGACACAATCTGCAAACCGTATTCGGAAATTAAAAACACCCCTACCACACACTAAGACATACAAATAATGCACACACTCAATTAAGCTGAAAAATCGAATCATCCTTGATAATGACTAAAGGTATAGCCGAAACCGCTCGGAAATATAAAACATTTCGACAGTTCTTACACACCCATTGTCCAGAAAAGAAAGCTCTTGTTAGAACACAGGAAAAATTAAATAAAAACTACCTTGTCTGTCTGTCGTTTTTAATGAAACACACACACACACACACACACACACACACACACACACACACATACATATATATATATATTTAAGTTACGAAAAACTTGGTAATCCGTATGGATAATCCCAAGGATGATGAAATCCTGAGAACTCGATGTAAATTCAGAGCTAATAATTTAAAGAAACACGGACCACTTTAATGCTCCATTGTAATAGTTTATTTCACCAGAGACCTTTTAAAGGACGCTGGATTATCAGACATCACTTCCAAAAGGTGACACGAAAAATGAAATGAAAACTTACACTTTCACCACCCTCTATGTCAACTTATATAAGCTTAATGCTGCCCGTCTAAAGTGTAAATTTTCATTTCATTTTTCGTTTCACGTTTTGATGTACTTTTAAAAGGTCTCTGGTGAAATAAACTATTACAATGGAGCCTTAAAGTGGTCTGGTTTTCTTTAAAATATATATATATATATATATATATATATATATATATATATTTTTTTTTTTTCTTAGTTAATAAAAATATGCCGGTTTATAATTTGGCGTGTCTTATCTCAAAGACTGACCACTGCGTTCACTTCTCTGACCTTGCTTTTGTGCATAGACGCCAATTCGTAGTTTGTAAACTTTTTGCTTTCTCACCTGTAAATTTGCTTTGCATATATTGTTTACTTGATACTATTTTGTTTTTGACATTGTTTTTCTTTTTATTGCAAACTTTGTTAATTCTGTTTGTTGGTCAGTTCTGTTATTTCATTTGCATTTGACCATGGCTACTAACTCAACAAGCTGCTGTTAAAATTACACCTTTAAGTGTTGACTCTAGGTGCGTCGTCAGTGTTGTTGTTCCCATGTCACTAGAAGTTTCGGGTCTCAATAAACAACAGACTTCTTCAATGGGCGACCCGACCGCATATGATCAGTATTCGGCCTGCACCCAGAGTAAATATTATTTACCCACTGCCTCACGCAGCAAGATGTGGCACAAGGCCGAGTTTTAAAGTAGGGTATCCGAGCCCGTAAGCTCGGCCAAAAATTCCCTATAGATCACGTAAAAACGGAGTCGATTTCCCGAGACTAGACTCTACCCTTAGGCAGAGTGGGGGGGGGGGACATGTGCCAGGTAAGTATACCGCACCCAGAGTAAATTTGCTACTAGCTTTAGGACGTGTTTTATATAAATTCCCCCCAGAAAACAGCAACTAGTCAAGTCTTCACTTGGGCTATTCGATGTTATAGATCGGGTATGGCTATATTTGTGAGATGAGGTATTATGTACATTATTTACATTATTCGGACTATTGTCCTCATTTTTGTCGCCATATTTATCACAACGTTTCGGCCGTTGTACGCTTCGGCCTTCTTCAGGTGGTTGGAATGTCGAACTGAACCTTTTATTTCGCTCACTGGGGTAGACTGTTCTAGTTCCACGTGCCATGTTTGATAGATGTTAGCTATCAGTTATCTCCTGTTAATTTTCCCCCTGAAAGTTCTCCACTGCCTTAACCGGGTATTTAACTCACACTCTTTAGGTCCTTTCAATGGATCTAACCAACGCCTTTATCCACTGTGCCATGTGTCCTTGAGTCTACCCTTGGACTATTCGATGTCATAGAACGATGATGCTTGGCTGTACTGATTTTTCTACATGCGGCCAAAACAGGCCAAAAGTTGCACCTCTTACTCTGTAATCCTTTACCCTGAGTAGCCATAGGTCCTAGTGCAGGGTGAACACCACTGTAAAAAAAAAAAGAAAGAAAAATACTGATAATAATAACAAAGATGAGGATATTAGTCCGGTAGTAAATCATATAAATATATTATCTTTAATATTCGTGTCCCACTGCTCATAGTTTTTAGTTACTGACTATTAGTATTAGTATTAATATGTTTTCATTTTTAATACGATTCTCTTTCCAATGAGATATACTTTTTTTCTCATTCAAACGGAGATTCGTTCATTGCGAACCCAGTCATTTATACTGTTTCACCTGTTCTTCCCAAAAGCAGTGAAAAGAATAATAAGAATTCTATCTTCTTTTCTAGAGAACGTATCTACCTGCAAGTCCAACGTAAGGCAACCTTCTAACTTCAACAGAATAAAAAAAAAATCATAGAAGAAAATTTAAGAAGCAGAATATTTCACCCAAACAAAAGATCTCAATAAAGTCTGCGTTTAAAATATCAAGAAAAATAATGTCGTAAATTCTGCGTTTTTTTTTTTTACAAAGCAGTCTTTCAAAATGAAACGACTTTGTCGATATAAGAACAGTCGGTGTAATAGAGACTTTCAAAGGGTTGATTCCTCGTGTAAGTATTTTGGCCAAATGTGTCTGTCTTTGTAATGGTGGCAAGGCTAGCGACGAGGTAAAAGACATTTGAATCTGTTTTTGTCTGCACGACACAATTGCTCAAAACAAGTCAACAATGACACTGCATTTTTCATTCATTTTTATTTTTTTTGGAAATTGGCACACCTCAGGAGTGCGCATGATCGTTTAAACCAGAACGACTTGTTTTCAAGATTGCTTCTCAGTTACACACACACACACACACACACATATATATATATATATATATATATAAACGAGAATGTGTATAATGTGGAAAAGTAGAAGTGTACATAGAAAAAAGTGTGTACACGTAAATGACATTATTGGTTTATTTATATAAGTATACTGTATGTATATATGTATATAAAATATATGTATGGGTAACGTATGCATGTGAATAAGTGTACAATTTTTACATGCGTCTAAGTACAAATATTTATATATGTATGTGTGGGGGTGTTTTCTGAATGTATGTACATGTCTGTGTTTATAAGAATATATAAGAATATATATATATATATATATATATATATATATATATATATATATATATATAAAGAGTGTTCCAATAAATTGGACCGATTTTAATGTGAATTAAGTTTAAGCGTCTAATAATTTTTTTTTTTTCTTACAGATTTGGCGGACATTTGGGAGATATTTTTCACACATAATTGCCATGACTTAAATAACATGATTCAATAGAGTAATAAATAAATTTATTAGATTTATTTATCCGTCTTAATGAAACACCCTAATATATAATACGTCTTAATGAAGCACCCTCTATATACATACATACATACATATATATATATATATATATATATATATATATATATGTGTGTGTGTGTGTGTGTGTGTGTGTGTGTGTTAAAACAACTGAATATTTATAGTTCTTACATGCTATATATATATATATATATATATATATATATATATATATATATATATATATATATATTTATATATATATGAAAACATATAAAATTAAATACAAAAGATGTGATGAAAAGTGCACGTCCTGAATCACTTCCCAAAACAGTATTCTGATGTTTGTTTATAAAATATTGAATTTTAGCAAATGGGTCAGTTGGATCGATAAACTTTTCAGCATTTTCTCGGAAATCTAGATGGATATACACAAATGCACATATATATACATACATACATACATATATATATATATATATATATATATATATATATATATAGATAGATAGATAGATAGATAGATAGAAAAAGAGAGTGATAAACATACATGCAATTATACGGATATCCAGATATACAAACATATATATATCTATATATGTAGATCCTTTTATCTATTTTTTCTTTTTACTTCATTCACCGAGCGGTGAGTACGCAATGAATGGGTGAATTATAACCATTGAAAAAGTTGGACAGATTTTCTTTTACGTTGTCATCTTCTATTGACCAATTGCTAGTGAAGTCCATGTTTTCTTTTCTTTTTCCCCTAGTATCTTCGTTATTCATTTGGGCTCCGACTTTGCCTCAATTCGCGCCTTTTTCTGGAAGTTATTTTTTTTTTCTTTGGTAGCCTTTTGCCTTTCAGATAGAGACGGGAATAAACAGCTTCGAAAAAACGATGATAACACACACACACACACACACACTTGCACACACGCACTTCTGCTCATTCTTGTGTCAGTGTTAAAAAATCGCTTAGCAATAAACATCACTCTCTTATAAAGAGTTCCTTACAGTAAAAATCCCTTTTCTATTTCGTATCTGTCTTGGGCACCTTGACGTGGTGTAATGGTTAACAAACTTGTCTCACTAGAACAATTACAACTGAGTAGGGAGTTCGATCCTCACTAGGTGACCCAGATTTCGGACTGGTGCTACATCTAATCTACGCTTCAAAAATCACTTTCTCTCTCTCTCTCTCTCTATTTCTATATCTATCTATCTATCTATCTATCTATCTATCTATCTATTTATGTTCATCTATCTATCTTGGAGTTATCCACCAGACTTCAGACTTTTGCTACATCTAATCTACGTACGAAAATCACTATATCTATCTATCTATCTATCTATCTATCTATCTATCTATCTCAACCAATTATTATTTTTCTATCTATCTATCTATTTTCGAGTTATCCACCTGAGAGTCAGAGATTCAATATTAGAGTAATTCCTGAGGAAGCATTCTTATCCGCAAGTGTATAATATCGTGGCTATTGTATTGTCATTTTCTGAATGGGATCTGGACCGTATAGCAGTTTCTGTTGGAACCTCTAGATGTCATGAAGATGTACACCGTTACAGCTTTGCTTTCTGACCGTCTATTCATATAGATATACGTAGTGATACTGTTTCACTCCCCACGTAACTCACCTGCCATATCATGACCAAAGCTATCACACAGTAGAGTCAAACCCAGATCATACACGCAGATAGTTTACCCTAAGTTCACTATTTTCTATAATATAACAGGTCTATGGTTCAACTATCCAGAAACTGAACTACATATTCAAGAGGTCAAACTATATGAAACTGGATTCAACCTGTCTATTCCAATTCTTTAATTTATGGGCCCGGGTTTATCACCTCTACTCATTATAGAAGACCCCAAAAATCGCCATGGCCGTGGGTGTCGGTTCTATATCAAGGATAGTTTCCCCTAAAACGAGGAGCTTTAATTCCACTTAATGTACTTTCGTGTGGCCCTTGTCCTTTGTCTTCAATGTCTGTCGTCCACATCGTTCCTGATCAAACCAAATTCATGAATAATTATATTGGGCATACAACTACATGCGTATCACGAAAACTCAGGTTAAATTTCTCAGACTATAACTCAATTAGGTCTCATTTAAACACATACAGAGACCTGCCAAAGACCGTCCTGCAACATACTCATAAAATACACAACTATAGTAGCCTTACCCACATATAAAAATGGCTAGAAATAATGGAAGCATTAATAACAAAAAACGAAAAGCTAACGCTTAATAATATCAGATAGGAACACTACCATAACGTGCTGGCCGTGTTTGGGAAATTAAAAACATTCACATTTCTATAGATGCAAATATATAATAAATATACATATTCAGTTAAGAATGAAACAAAATCCTTGACAATGATTAATAGAATAGCCGAAAAAGCACGGATATATAAATAACATTTCGGCAGGTTTGACAAACTTTATGTCCACAAAAGATAACATATGTGCAAGATACAAGAAAAAATGAATAAAAAGATTAATCTAAAAATTCTATGTTACATTCTAAGAAGTCTTATATCATGACCTATAAATAGTAGCATGATTGAATTGCTACTATTTTAAAGCTTAAAGTGTTAAGTTTTCTTCTGTTAACTTAATTTTAATTTAATTAACCCTCGCCATGAATTTTGCACAGAAATACTAGAGAGGTTGAAAGAAAACGGATTTGATGATCGGCTTGTTTTTTAACGATGAGGTAACCTTCTAGGTAAGGGGTAAAGTTAACAAGTATAACACACGCATATGGGGAACTGGGAACCCTCATGTAACATGTGTGAGGTTACTCAGAATTTTAAATTTGGATTTTGTAATGTAACTAAGATTTTTTTCCAATTGTCATCTTACACCAATTTAACTTGCCACTTATTGGATAATTTCAGTAAACTAAATTTGTCTGTGAATTCACCTGCTTCTCCAATAATGACTGTGCATACAACTACATACATTGGTTACACAATCGCTACATTAACACACCAGTTAACTTGCCACTTATTGGATAATTTCAGTAAACTAAATTTGTCTGTGAATTCACCTGCTTACTTCTCCAATAATTACTGTGCATACAACTGCATACATTGGTTACACAATCACTACATTAACACACCAGTTAACTTGCCACTTATTGGGTAATAGCCCAATTAAAAATGACGACCCGACACAACAAATTCAACAAATTCTTTTCTATTTCCAAAAATAGAACAAAAGAAAAATTGGAACAAAAGTTCTGCCTGATTTTTTTTAAGTGAAAATGTTTAATAAAATTTAAAGTACAGGGTATTTCAAAAGTCTATGTCACATTCTAAAAAGTCTTATGTTACGAACTACAAATGATAGCATGAATGAACTGGTACCATTTAAAAGCTTAAGGTGTCAAGTTTTCTTCTGTTAATTCTGATTTAATTTAATTAACTTTCGTCATGAAATTTGCACAGAAATACTAGAGTTTGAAAGAAAACGGATTTGATGACCGGCTTGTTTTTAACGATGAGTTAACATTCTACGTAAGTGTCAAAGTTAACAAGCATAACACACGCCTATGGGGAACTGAGAACCCTCATGTAACTCTTGAGTATGGGCGAGATTCCCCTAAGGTAAACCTGGTCAAAGAAACCTTTGTATGGATCATCCTTCTTCTTTGAAGAAGGAACGGTCACTGGTGAAGCGTACTTTGCCATGTTGCAAAATTGGTTAATGGAAAAATGGCATGAAGAGAAGTTTGCAGACTTTATTTCCCAACAGGATGGGGCACCGCTCCAATGGAGACTTAAAGTTAGACACCATTCTGAACACCACTCTCTCCGACAGATTGGTCAGACATTCCACATGTGACTTCTTCCTCTGTGGGGTATGTGAAAGGCCTAGTGTATGTACACCCCCTTGCCAGATACGTGGATGATCTGAAGACGCGTATAAGTGAAGCCTTGGCAAATATCGACAACACTATGCTTGGTCGCGTTTGACAAGAATTAGATTATCGTTTGAATGTGTATCGTGTAATCAGCGCTGCTCACATTGAGAACGTGTAAAAGCCTGTAGAGAAACGTGGAAATGTTATCTCTCAGGAAATATAAATTGTGTTTTGATATCCTCAAGAGATATTGAGATACAAACTATAGTAATGTGACAGACGTTTTAAACACCCTATATATATATATATATATATATATATATATATATATATATATATATATATATATATATATATATATATATATATCATCCTTTTGTACGGCTCAGAGTCGTGGGCTCCATACCGGTACCATGTACGCCAGCTGGATGTTTTCCATAAAAGCTGTCTGCGTGCAATCTGTAGAGTTAACCTTCAAGATAGGACATCTAACGTTGACCTGTTTAACAGGTGTAATATTGGAGGAATCGAGACTTTTCTCATTCAGTCTCAGTTACGATGGACTGGTCATGTCTTGAGAATGTCTGATGACAGGATACCCAAGATCCTAATGTACAGCCAGTTAGATTAGGGCTACTCGAATGTAGGAGGCCCATGGCTAAGATACAAAGACAAGCCGAAGAGCAACTTTATCAGCTGTCAATATACCACATAACACCCTTGAGCGCTTAGCCTTGGAGCGGGTAGAATGGAGATCAACGTGTTTTAGTGTACACAGCAGTTTTCAATCAGCTTGTCTGAATCGTCTTCAAGAAGCGAGGGCAAGATCTAAAAGGTCAGCCAATCTAAGAGTGATCTCATCCCACAATCCTCACTCTTGCTCCATATGTGGCCTCCTTTGTAAATTACTAGGGGGTCTTAAGTGCCACTTAAGATTATCGCACAAAATTTCATAACTGAATCAATTAAGCTGTCAGATCTTCATGCGTCGAAACCGACGGGAGACTTTTTTATATATATATATATATATATATATATATATATATATATATATATATATATCTGTTTTGTGTGTGTGTGTGTGTCAGAGAGTTTTTAAACAGTGACTATTACAGCTAATAATGCAAGACTCTTCGGTAAAGCGAATCGAGTTCTCTCAGTCACTGTGTTTATCCAAAAATAAATACGCTTAAATTTACCTTCATCCCTGCCGTGCACCAACGGCTTAGGGGTAGAATCTCCGACTGACGCCATTTCAGAGGCAACCGGACGTTTATCGACACTCATGAGCTGTAATACAGCAAAACAGTCTGTCTTTGGATGACAATATATATATATATATATATATATATATATATATATATATATATATATATATATATATATATATATAATGGATTATCCTGTCGATTCCGACGCATAAGAATCCGACAATCTGTTTGTGCCTTATGTGACACTTCAGTCCCGCTGGTAATGTTCCAGAAAACGCTTGAAAATGAATCAGAGAGAAAGATTTTAAATTTAATTCTATAGTTAAATTTAAAGTTTAGTTTTTGTTTTTGAAACATGCTAATTCCTGTGTAACGATGGAACCCTATTTTTAAATTAGTAAATATATATATATATTTCACAGACCATTCATATCCATTTATCTGCCGCATCCGACGCTTCAGCAACTGGAAGTGGATTAGCTCCCTTGATTGACAATGGTTTGGTTACGTCATTCTACGTACCAGTGTTTTTCATTTTTAACAAAACTTTTAATGTTTCAAAATTTATGAATATATAATGCATAAAAAAACTTGATGAACAGTCCCGGAAGACTAGTTGGAACTTTAAGCAAAAGTTCCAACTAGACTTTTTCGAAATGTCTATTTTATTTCTTGGGCAAAGAAATAGTAAAGACAAGCCAAGTTACGTTGCCATAACAATCTTACACACACACACACACACACACACACACACACACACACACACACACACACACACACACACACACACACACATATGCACGTGCGCTCACAGACAGAGCCTTTTGGGACCTATCTAGTTTTTCTACCACCCAGCAGGGACACGTCACTGATCCAGTCATCACGACAGTAATGATCGCCTCCTTGGCTGGAAGTAAGTAAAAGGGTCTTTCGGTGTTGAGGTCCTGTTTGTTCACGTTTGCCTTCTTTTCCTCTTTTGTCATCTTCCTTCTTGGAAAGACACAGTCATCACCTTTCCTTGTCTTCTCTCTTACCCTCTCTCTCTCTCTCTCTCTCTCTCTCTCTCTCTCTCGGGAAGATACAGTGAATCTGCTTTTCCTTTCTTTACTTTGTCATCTGCCCTGGATTTGGCGGTCGAGAATATCCCGTTCATTTCTGTTGAGCAAACCCAGTCCTCCACTTTGTTTATGTTGTTTTGTTAATTATTCATTGTTTTTTTTTCTGTTTGTTAATTCTCTTAGGATTTTGTTCGCAGAAAATTCATCCTGATAGCCTATGCTGTCATGATTGGTTACGTAGCAACCACGCCACATTTCGGCGTCTCTTTTCATCCGCACATCTCCATATTGAATTCAACTTAGCTACACGATATCTTGATTTGGTTTCCCGCCTAATTTCTAGATTTACTTAACGACATGCTACGTGTGGCATCTTCTTCATTTAGCACGCCCCCATTTTTGGATTTTTTTTACCAGTCCCAAATCACTTCATTCAAGTAAATTCACTTGAGTTTAACTACTGCTTTCATCAAAGAACATAGCACACGAACATTTCCAAAGACTTACCATCTGCATTTGGTTACCATGCTCCTTTTCTGGACTACTAATTTAACCACATTTGTATATCTACACACTCAAACTTTAGAACACTTTTACGTGTTTTTAATATTTCATCCCATTCCAGGTGGTGACTCCTGTCAGTTCTTACAAATCAACAAATGTACATATTTGTAATTAACTTGGTTGTTTGCCAATATAAAACTTTTTAAGAACTCTGCCTTTGTTGTAACTCAGTTTTTTGTGTTAATCTTTTGTATATTATTTATATTAAAATTTCTTGATAAAAAACACCTCTGTGGGCTGCTACATATCGATATCAGGCTCTTCATATATCGATATATTTCACAACCTTTTCATATCTATCTAAATCTTTTTTCTATATATCTATAGAATTTCCCAATTTTCGGCTATCGTTGTATTATAAATTCCTGAAGCCAAAGGAAAAGACAGATGTTCTGCAGATCCTAACAACACGATTACCCATAATTCCGTTCAGGAAGTGACGTCATTAATTTCAACATTTGAAGTTCATTTAGCGCGCAGCTTTCAAATACGTTTCAATGAGATGACGCGCTAAAAATAGTTGTCACGTTTATTACGTCGTCGTAACAGACAGACAGACTGCTTTGTCTGTCTTTAATGTCTTTAGGAAATGATTTTTCTTTTATATTTCTTGAGTTATTATAATCTTTCGGTCATGTCAAGTGACTTTTCCTCTTTTAGTTTTGAAGAGGTATGGGAAATCAACGAACTCCCACTCCCCCAGAACGATGAGCACATATGGCGAAGAATTAAAAACATAATACTTGGAATTTTTTGTTGTAGCTCGATTTTATTCAGTCAAAAAGTTACGAATCCGGATAACATTGGCCGCCATTTAGAATACCAGTCCTCCATAGAACGGTGCCAAGATTATACAAATAACCTTGAAAATATATGGGACAATGATGAATTCAAGAAAATTCATTTACTCGCGTGGCTTAGCGGAAAACCGCACTGGGTGCCCTCTCTGCCAACTGTCCGTGAAGAAGAAGAAGAAGAAGGAACGGAAGAAGGGAAAGAAGAAGAAGAAGAGAAAAGAATAAAAGAAAGAGAAGAAGAAAAAGAAAGAGAAGAAGAAAAAGAAAGAGAAGAAGAAAAAGAAAGAGAAGACAACTAAGAAGAACCATAGCAACAAAAACGATAACAACTATTATTCCTATAATAGGACCCTTGGAAATCATATTTACAGTTTAAATGTTGCTATATCGGTTGCTTTATAGATTCAAAGAACAAACTGTAACATATCTTTAATTGCGTCTCTTAAATACAATATTCCGCCTTAATAATCTTCCAATTCTTTTACTTCAGGATATGGACGATCATGACTCTCCACAACTTCTCTTGATCAATCTAATATTTTCTCCTTCAAGATATTTTTCTGGGATTTGTTTTTCTTTCCATTTGCTCAAATGTAATATTATTTTCTTGCTATTTTACTTTTTCTTGTTATTTCGCTTATCTTGCTTTCGGCGTGTCTTGTGAGTTTTAAATTCTCCAAGTCCTCTTCCCTATTTGTACACCTTTTCCGATTTCTAGTAGCAGTTTCCTTGTAGTTGCTATGCTCTTTAGCATTTCCTTGTTTACTGCATACTTTGTCTATGCTATTCTCAACATTCTTCATTTTTCCAGTCCATTTTTTTCATTTATGACGAAATTTTTAAGCTTTCATCTTGGATGAGAGGCATCCAGAATTTTCTTTGTTTGTAATTTTATTTTTAAACCCCTTTAAACTGTAGTAAGTTTTTAAAATGCATTTTTTTTGTGTTTCCGAATTTCTATATCACATTTTCTCTCATTTGTTATTGTGGTGTGCTCCCTCTAATGAGGCTATTGTAGACTCTTCCACTTACTATAAAGTAGTAGGAATAGTAAGCCTCGGGGAAACGGTGATATAGACTGAACGCTGGTCAACCGACATACACTTCCAAGTCGTGTTTATGCGGGTTCTACAGGGATTTCTTTGGACGAGCCTACGGGTTCGGGTGACCCACTTTAAACTCGGCTTTGTGCCACATGTATCCTCGTGGGGTGGGGCAGCTACTAAATATCAGCAGTGATATAGACTGAATGCTGGTCAACCGACACACACTCCCACGTCATGTAAGATTTTTCTGTTGTATTTACTGTTCAATACACTATTTATCTGAAACCTCTTGTTTTGTTTTTTATTTCTTAACCAATTACTTGGTCGTAACATCTTGGACAGACCCAAACCCGTTTGTGCGGGTTTTAGCGGGATTTCTTTGGCCGAGTCTATGAGTTTGGATGACCCACGTTAAACTTTGTTATTTCTTAATCAATTACTTGGTCACAACAGTTATTATAGTGTCTAAATAGTTCAACTTACGCACTTATTTGATTATGACATCCCCGATGTATAACTTAAATGTTGAGCTGTCTCTTTTGCTTACTATTATAAAAAAAATAGCATTAGTAAATATTCAATACTACAAATAACTAGGTGTACGGATCAGTTATAACAAATTTAGTATAGGAGATAAAGTAACTGAACCTATGCTAGAGGTGGTTTCATCCAACTACAGCAAAATAAAAATTTTAACCTAAAACTCGAATCATATTTTTAGATAACTTCGTCAGATCGAAACTTTCATGCGGATGTCATGCATAGCACCAAACCCGTTCAGAAATATCTAAACTGTCAGTTGTTTTCAACTGCGTTCTCGGATCATTGATTAAAAATGGCTTCGAGCGAATGAAACTTTGAGGTCTTAGAGATGACGATTCTTCTTTGAACCTCGTGGATTGATGCTACACAATAGCAAACAAAGAAACGACATCACTCGAAGACTCAATAACTAAAATAGATGGCTCATATAACTCGAAGAGAAAATAATAACATAATCAGGATGTTGACATTCCACATTACTCCATACAAAAGGTTAGGAAGAAAACCCCCATCAATACTGGAAAGAGCGATAACAGCTACTGGACTTGAGAAACCAGTTTTTCTGAAAATTGTTTTAATACAAAAAAATTATGAATTTCAACCGACGATAGCACAGACTGCTCGGTAAATGAATGCCAAATGTTTCTTTATAAGGAAACAGCTAATATTACTATTATTACCTACACGCGTGCTATTAGCTGCAATAGTTAATTCATACTTGTGTAGCACTTGGTCGATAAATGCCGAATGGTTCCTTCTAAGGAAACGGTTAATATTGCGATTATCAGATACTCCACTTTGATTCCAGTTCTATAGCCAGGAAGTAAAGAAAAGCTTAACTCGAGTGGCACTGGCTGTTCGGTCAATGAATTTTGAAAGTTTCTTTATAAGGAAACGGCTTTTATCATTAGCATTAGAAATGAGGAGAACAGATATTACATTTTGATCCCAGCCCGATGGAATAAAAGCTTAATTTAAGTAGAACTGGCTGCTCGGCCAATGAATGCTTGATGGTTCCTTCTACGTAAACAGTTAATATTACGATTACCAGATACTCCATAACCAGGGAGTGATCAAAAGCGTACTTCGAGTGACATTGGCTGCTCGGCCAATGAATGCTGGATGGTTATTTCTAAGGAAACGGATAATATTATGATTTCCATTAAGGTCAGCCCGTTCTTTAGACATTCAGCAACTACCTTGTCTAGTAATTCTTTTAGTTTCACTTTAGAGTTTGTCATCAACATAATGTCATCTGTATGTCTTACGTTGTTAAGATTACATCCGCCGATGAGCTTCTCGCTGTAAAAGTTAAATAAATGCGGCGAGAAAACACATCTTTGTCCCACAACCCTTTCTAGTTTGGCGTGCTTATTTCATTTCATATGTGCAAACAAGCTATTTGTTTCCAATAAAGATTGTGGATTAATATCCTTTCCATGTAGATCAAGATTTGCTAAAATTTGAAGACCTTTTTTGTGCCGTAATTTATGGAATACCTGTGTAATCAATTGAATATTTTACACTGAATCGGGTTTGGAAGAAGCAACATTGTGTATGACCGAATAATGTTCCTGGTAAATTCCTACCTTTACAAGAGTCACTATTTTGTCTTATGAATTCTAACTTAATTGAACATGAGCGTTAATGATAATAAAATCATTCATGTGACCTAAGGAAATTTTATGAGACTATAGTCAATGAAGTTAGTGAAATATTCCTGCAGAAATAAAAGCTGGTAAAATACAGGGAATGATTAAAAGAAAAATAACTATATGAAGGATCCGACTTGCACACACAAATACACATCCGTATGCACGGACACTCACAGAGAAAAAGTGTATTAAAATGCTTGGACGTTCAGAGAAAAGATATTTGATTCTTGAGTCTTACAATGGAAAAACAGGGGAAAATATTTGAGGGAGCTCTGGATTTGCGAGATACTTGTCATTTGACCCTCAGATATGGAATAAAAAATACCAACAAGTTTGTAATTCCTGTGCACTTCTTTACTTCATATTATCAGAACAGACAACTTCTTCTTTATCCATATACATTCCTTCCTCGGCTTTTGAACAAGAATATAAGCTTATAATTTTTCTTGTTTAGGATTGGGTTTCTGGTTTCTTATTTAAATTGTAATCATTCCCTTTTATTCCCAATAACACTTTGCGTTTTAGCGAAATGATTAAAATAGACACAGACACTCTATATATATATATATATATATATATATATATATATATATATGAATTTGCCATTTTATCTCATTAACTTTACTAATTTACTTTTTGTTTAAATGATTCATTTTAATATAAATTAAACTGCACCTCATATTTATATATATATATATATATATATATATATATATATATATATATATATATATATATATATATATATATATATATATATATATATATATATATAAACTTTCGGCAAACTTCGCCATCGCTTGTGGAATGAGGGGGGGTATTCGACTGGATACGAAAATTCGGGTTTACAGAGATATTGTACTTGCCATCCTTTTGTATGGCTCAGAGTCATGGACTCCATACAGGTAGCATATATGCCAGCTGAATGTTTTCCATAAAAGCTGTCAGCATGCAATCTGTGGAGTTAACCTTCAAGATAGGACATCTAACGTAGACCTGTTTAACAAATCTAGTATTGGAGGAGCCAAGAATTTTCTCATACAGTGTCAGTTACAGTGGACTGGTCATGTCTTGGGAATGTCTGGTGACAGAATACCTAAGATCCTAATGTACAGCCAGTTAGATCAGAGCTACAGGAATGTAGGACGCCCATGGCTAAGATACAAAGACAAGCTGAAAAGCAACTTGTTAGCAGTTAATATACAAGATACCACATATAACACCCTTGAGCGCTTAGCTTTGGAACAGTGATCTCATCTCACAATTCTCACACTTGCTCCATATGTGGCCTCCTTTGTAAATCACTAGCGGGTCTTAAATGAATCAATAAGCTGTCAGATGATCATACGCCGAAACCGACGGGAGAGTCCGTATATATATATATATATATATATATATATATATATATATCAGAAATGTTTCCATCATGGTGTATTTATAGGTCCCCTGTAAAAATGCGGTATTTTGGTAGATGGTTGAATTGAATGGAGATGGATGAGTTCATGTGATGATTGTATCAATTGTTTGGATGAATTAGTCGTAAATTGAACTAGCTAGAAATAGGATATTAAATTTTGACCACCCTTTCTCTTCCTCCCTGCGGCCTTGTGCCACACACAATATATTTTGTTTAATAAACAATATCTTTATTAAATATAATTTTAGAAGTGGAAATATTCATTGCAACATGTTGAAATAT